GAATTAGGTTTATCAAGATTTTATAATTAATTACTAAAAGGTTTACAATTTTAAAATTAATTTTTGTTAAACTTAATTGATATAAATAATTACATTCATATTAGGACTATTGACAATTTAAATTATGTAATAAAAGTAATAATTAATAGACATATGTAGAAATTTAAGGAAAATCTATTATTTTTAATTTTATTTTTCTTCACTTATATCCATTTAGAGAAATAAAAATAATTAAATTAATAAAGATTCACTTTTAATATAATAAATAAAATTGATTATACTAATAAAATTAATAAAGCCTTTCTAACTGAAAAATAATGCTTGAGTTGAACTTAGACTAGTTTGACCCAATTGGGGATGCTTATTCTACGAAAAAGGGAATGTGGGATTCTTTCCTTCAATTTTTCTTGACAAAGCTCAACTCCCATGCATTGCACAGGTCTTGACTAGTTTACTCTTAAATCTCTTTGACTCTCTGAACCCCTTTTATCTCTATCTAATAAAATATGGATATTAAATTGATAGATTGGATTAGGTTAATGTCCAAACCAAGCCCAACCCTAAAATGGAGCCTATCTAGGACTTTAAGTGATATCAAAAGACAAAATCCAATTTTTCCAACCCAAACTAGAGTACAACTTGGGTCAGGTTTGATTAAACTTTCAATTGGATTGAATTCCAACACAATCCAAATGTTGAAATTCTTCAAATTTAGCAGCCTGATTTACATCCCTAAATTAGGGGCTATCATGCATGAGTTCCAAGCATGAAACATAAGCCCAAGTCTAATTCCGGGCCTATATACTTTATAAGTAATATGAAATATATATAACATTTTATATTATATGTGTGTTAAATTCATTTTGTACATTATATAATTTAAAAATATTATATATAATATGTATTATAGGTGTTGATGATGCGCGATCTGGTTCTCCTTGTTGCCAGACAGCTCAGGTTGTTGGGCTGGTGAAGTCACTTGGTTGAGCTGCAAAAAGAACAACGAATTACTAATTGTCTACAAGAAAGCAAGAGAGCTAGGGTGCTTAGAGAGCTAAATTGCACATACCTTGTGAGGTTGGAGGTGAGGCCCTTATATATGCAAGCTACTGTGAGCCTCACGAAACGCGTTTGGGATCTCCGGCTCGTTTGGTCCAGAGGTGGTTTCACGCCAGGAAGTGGACTCCACATAAGTGGGTAACACTTATCCAGTCCTGCCCAAAGCAGACAGGGTGATGACCGGCTCTTTTAACGTGGCATCGTGATCCCGAGGAACTCAGAGGTAATAGCTCACTTAAGGGGGAGGTTGTTTGACACATCAAGCATGTCGCTAATCAGAGTTGGGTCAGATCAGTGGAAGCAGGTCGACTCTTATGCCGACCTAAGGTCTTTCTTGGCTGTTCGCAGTTCAGCCTACCGGAGTGGTGCTGAGGTCATCGAGGCGGTTGTGATTGTGAAATGTCCGAAGTGCTCTTGGGGTCTGCTTACGTGGTGCCGAGATATCACTCTACTGTTTTGCAATGCCACATGTCGTGATATCATTGGATGACCAAATTACCCCTTATCAGGTGCCATATTATAATATCATATATAAAATATAACGTAAAATAGTATATATTGGCCTGAGGCCCAGCTTTAAAAAGAGTGAAATTCTAAAAAGTAGCTAGAGAAGTTACAAATGCTRAAATCTGGGATGCTTTGAACTCTATGAAGGAGCTTAAGGCGCCAGGACCTGATGGGTTGAATGTCCTATTTTTCAAAAAATTCTAGAGCATCATTGGTGATTATGTTTGTAATGTGGTTAAATCCTTCTTCCATAGTGGTAAACTTTGCGGGATATTAAATCAGACCTTTATCACCCTCATTCCAAAAAAGAAGAGTCCGAAATCAGTAAATGACTAGCGACCAACAGTCCATGCAATGTTATATATAAAATTATTGCTAATGAAGTGTCTGAAGTGCTCTTGGGGTCTACTTATGTGGTGCGAGATATCAGTCTACTGTTCTACAATGCCACATGTCGTGATATCATTGGAGGACCAAATTACCCCTCATCAGGTGTCATATTATAATATCATATATAAAATATAACGTAAAATAGTATATATTGGCCTGAGGCCCAGCTTTAAAAAGAGTGAAATTCTAAAAAGTAGCTAGAGAAGTTACAAATGCTRAAATCTGGGATGCTTTGAACTCTATGAAGGAGCTTAAGGTGCCAGGACCTTATGGGTTGAATGTCCTATTTTTCAAAAAATTCTAGAGMATCATTGGTGATTATGTTTGTAATGTGGTTAAATCCTTCTTCCATAGTGGTAAACTTTGCGGGATATTAAATCAGACCTTTATCACCCTCATTCCAAAAAAGAAGAGTCTGGAATCAGTAAATGACTACCGGCCAATCAGTCCATGCAATGTTATATATAAAATTATTGCTAAAATCTAAAACATCTATTAGACAATATAATATCCCCTTATTAGAGTGCCTTCATTCCAAATAGGCAAATCAATGATAACATCCTTATTGCCCATGAAATGATTCACTCTATGAAAAAGCAAAAAAGGCAGCTTGATAATGGTGTGCAAAATAGACATGGAGAATGTCTATGACAAGTTGGAATGGGATTTTATGGAAAAAATCTAAGAAAATTTGGCTTTCATGAGAAATGGATAGCATGGGTCATGCAATGTATAAGAACCGTTTCATACAAAATCTTAATAAATGGGAGTCTAGTAGATGAGTTTAAACCAAGCAGGGGAATCAGGCAAGGAGACCATCTTTCTCCTTATATCATTGTGCTCTATGCTGAAGCACTATCAAAAAAGATGGAGAAGGAAGCTATGATAACTAATAAACAACTTGGCTGCAAAATTTCTAGGAGAGGTCCAAAGATTCCCATTTTACAGTTTGTAGATAACTGCATCATTTTTGCTAACTCAACCATCCCTGCTTGCTTGAAAATCAAAGAAATCATTTTGAACTATGCAAGAGCTTCTGGTTAATGTCCAAATTTTAACAAATCATTAATTCTTTTCACAAAGAATACTCTCCATAGAATTTCAAAAAATTCTCTCCAAAATTCTCAAAATTCCTAGGCATGCTAATTCTGAGAATTACTTGAGTGCTCCCATTGTCACAAAGAGAGTAACATAAAATACTTTCTCTACAATCAAGGAGAAAATGATCCAAAAATTGGCAAATTGGAAGAGAAATTCCCTCTCTTTGGCAGGTAGACTCACTCTTATCAATTCTACCACAACATGATGCCTCAATTTATTATGAGATCATTCAAAGTCCCAAAAAATACTATAGAGGAATTGGATAAACTTCTAAGGGATTTCCTATGGACAAACTCAGATGAGAGAAAACCCATTCATCTCCTAAATTGGGAGAGAGTTTGTACTCCAAAAAGATGGGGTGGTCTGGGCTTAAGGAAGCTTCAATGGGTCAATGAGGCAAGTCTTGCCAAATTAGGATGGAAGATTCTTAATGAGGAGGAAAATTTATGGGTAAAAGTTATTAAAGACAAATATATGAAAAGAGAAAATTTCTAGAATGTAAAAGTGAAGAAAGTATCTCTTGGGGCTGGAGAGGAATCCTTCTTGTTAGAGAGCTCTTAGTAAAGGCAATTGATGGCAAGTTGGAAATGGGAGATCTATTAGATTTTGGCAGGATAATTGGATAATAGACCAACCTCTATCAAATTTTCTTCATCATGAAAATAGAGAAAACGACAATACCTTGGTCTCAGTCTCTTAGATATGATTGACTTCGAAAGAGAGTGTTGAATCGAGGATAAAATTTGAGCGGAATTACCTAATAATATATGGCAAAAAATTAGACCAATTTTTATAGCTCCAAGTTCTATGGAAGATAAAATTATTTGGGGATGTAATCGGTGACCTTACCATTAAGTCAGCCTATTTGCTTAAGTGCTCATCTACACTAGCTCGGAATGATTCATTTAATTGGCTTTCAAAGTTTTGGAACCTAAAGTGTTCCCCAAAGTTAAAAACTTTTGTTTATTTGATGTTAAATAATAAGCTTCCTACAAAAGCTCAATTAAGGAAAAGGAGATATAATATTGATGGATCTTCTAACTTTTGTGGTGAAGAGGAAGATGTTTGTCATATTTTCAAAGATTGCCCTCGTACAAAACAAATCTGGTTGACAATCAATACTACCTTAGAGGGCCTAAATGATAATAATCACTCTCTTATTGATTGGTGGAATAGGTTAGGAAATAGAAAGGAAAATAATAGGCATCTAGTGGGAGGAAAAAATGCCTTTATTTTGTGGGCTGTTTGGAGGAATAGAAACCTCAAGATGTTCAATAATGTAACATCCCCCCACCGATGCTTTTGGAAAGGCCGCTTAACATGTTCTTAGAACATTTTGATGGGTTAAAGAACCCAGTGGTGGATCTTAATGAGAAGACTTAGAAACCTATCATGTTTGCTTACTCGTGATCATCTGGGTTGAGTTCTTCACACTAAAGCTTATAAGCTTGGCTTATGCACTATTAATCAAGCATAAGCTTGGGCTATTTGAAGCCCATATCATGGTTTTGGATTTCAGCAATTAACCAATCATCATTGAGGGGATTCGAAGCTGATCATGTCATCAAGTACAAGATGAGGACTCCTTGGAAGCTAAGGAACATGATTTCAAGCTGCATGCAGATTCGAGATTTGTTCAAGTGGGGGCTGGCGTACCATCATGTATTCAGAGAGGCAAACCAGACAGCTGATTGGCTTGCTCATGAGGCTCAATTTTCTTCTTTCACTATCTTAGCTTTAAATTCTTTTGTCTCTTCCTCCTTCCCTCCGTATCTGCTTTGCTGAATTTTGGGGACGCACTACTCCCCATTTAATGTAGTGCTATTCTGCTTTATATAAAAGAAAAAAGCTTTGCATTTGCTTTTTTTTAGAGATCATTGTAACTGTGAGGGTGTAGTATGACTCGTTACGTTAACTATTGCGGAATTGGGATTTGGGGTGCAACGAATATAATTCTAGTTCTGCTCATTCGATCCGAACATATTTGCGGTGAGGGGTTAGAGATTTGGGGTGCAACAAATTCACTTCAACCAATTCCGTCACTATTTGTGGTGAGGGGTCAGAGATTTGGACGAGTGACAATTCCAGTTCCTCTCAATTCAAATTCCATCAGCAAGCCCAGTCACAACCTAAAGATGATTTCATTTTCGTAGGGGAATTAATGGAAACCTCAAGCTCAAATGTTCTGTCGCTCGGCCTCAGACTGAGACCACACTGTACACAGTGCGCCTCTCCGGCTTTAAAACTGGGAAAGGCCGGATTTTGCCACTTGTGATCTCTCCTGAAATCCAATCTGGACGCCAGCTGTCAAAGAGTTAAGTTGTCTACGTGGATAGAAAAACAGGTAAAATCCGTTAGAACTGGAATTCTGAAACCTTCGCCCGCGATCTACCTTTCTTTCCATGAGCATCGCAACCTTTCTTCCATTCCAAGATATTATCATCTCTTCTCTTTTGCTTTATGCTTTCTCCAAAGGATTACGCAACAGCCCTTAGAAGTTTCATTTCAAATCCCTTTACCACTATCATCAGGCCATCACCAACCAATTACTACATACTTCATCCTTCACCTTGTTCCTCTCAATCTTCTGGCCTCTGCAGAGGGAAAAATCCACCCCCTCACAGCATGGCGGTAGCTCATTTTAGTGCTACCCCACAAGCTAACTTGCGCACTTCTCTCCTTCCTTCCTCACTTCACAAGAAAAACCTCCTCTTTTTTCTCACAATAGCACCACCAGAACGACAAGCGAGAGGCACTCAAAGAAGAAGTCGAAGACAAGGCTCGGAAATTAGGGTTTCTAATGGAGGAGATTCGAACCTCGGTATGTGGAAGGGGTCCGTGGATCTTGAAAGGGATGCACTTGAGTTTCAGAAGATGGTCGAGAATTCTTCTCCTGTTTTCAGAAAGGACGCTGAAGATGATGACAGCCCAGAAGCACTGGAGCGGAAGAGTAAACAGTTCAAGAAGATCCTGGAGGTTCCCAAGGAAGAGAGAGACCGTGCTCAAAGAATGCAGGTGATTGATCGTGCTGCCGCGGCACTTGCGGCTGCTCAAGTTCTTCTTAAGGAAGGCCCTCCTCTGAAAAAGGAAAGCTTTTCGGCTTATTCGAGCTTGTCTGGATCTGATGGGAGTAATGGAGAAGTGAAGAAGAGTCCACATGGAGGTAACCTATTCATGATTGTGTGAATTGCGATTTTTTTTTTTTTTTCAAAAGCTCTGAAATTTGCTAGTGCTGGAGGCAATATTAAAAAAGAATATTGTGAGGGTTCTAAACTTTGAGTATTCATATAATCTGTGGATGTTGAAGGAGAAATTTGTTATTTAAGTTAAGCTGTTTAAAATGAGATTTTGTGGATTATCCTGAGAAATTATGGTTTTGTACGATCTGAGAGATTTTAAAAATGAAAAAGAAATCTATCAATTAACAATGAAATATTTGAGTGTCAAGCGTTAGAACTCGAGTTCAAGTTTGAGAGTTGCCTAGGTCATAGGAAATTAGCCACCCTGTCTAGGGGAACAACTTGGATTGTGAGTGACCAGACATAACCTAAAAATAATGATTGAGTTGAACTTAGATTAACTTGGCTCAATTAGGAATATCATAGGGATTCTTTTGCTTCATTTTCGTGTAATAAAGCCCGTGCATTGCACGGGTCCCGACTTATGTGTTAAAAGGAATTCTTGGTACCTTTATTAATTAAGGAAAAAAAACTAGAGTCATTTCTGCTCATATAACCTTCTACAATGTTCCAAAGTAGAGTTAAATGCTTGGAAATAGTATATAGAAGAGATGAGTGTTTGGTATTACAGTTTTGTGTATCTTTAAATGTCGAAGTTCTTTTGTGTAGTATTAATTCTTTGTCTATGTAAATTCAGAGTGGATTTTTTTGTTTTGGTTTTTTTGCCTCCTGCCTCTGCATCTTCTCATGTGCACCCCCTTTTTGCTTTGAATGAAATGAATAGTTACCTCTTCTCAAAAGAGAAAAAAAAAAAAGAAAGTTCTTTTGAAGACATTTTGGGTAAATTTCAAAAACGAAAATAGAACTTGAGCATAAGTGTGAGAGTTGAAGGTCATGCAAAGTTGCAAACCTTAAATTGCTTAGTTGGAAAAGGATCTCATCCCACTATGCTATTACCCCCTAAATTTGGAGTTTGGGGTTATGGTTAGTATGTTCGGTTTTCTATATCTAGATATCTAAAAGTTCCTATAGTCAGGAAACTCTATGTTTACTATAATCAAAATCTACATTCTTACTGGGTTATGTTAATGTGTTTGCTTTTCTATATCTATCAGTTCCTATAGTTCGAAATTCTACTTTAATCAACACCAACATTCTCATTCCATGATTTCCACAATATCATTTCAATTTGTTGCCCAGCATCCTCTAGTCGCAACTATTACAGCTTTTCATTTTTGGAATGACTCAGCTACTTTTTTGATCATATGTCTCATCTAGAGAGCATTTTGAGAAAAGGATTAACTTTCAGATGAAAAATTTAAAAAGAGAAATCAATTTTGAATAAAATTAAAAGAAAATGGTTTTAGAAACAGGGAATCTACACACCTCAAGAGACAACACCCGACAACAAATGAATTGTTAGGCAGAGCTGTTCAACAATTTTGCCACCTCTCAGCACGATATGCACTGAAGCATTGATTTTGGCAGAACAACCAGCAAAATTGTTTGGGTGAAAGTTACATGTTTAATGATCATATCTACTAGCTCTCAGAGGTGCAAGTCCAACTTTGTGTGTGGTAGGATTTCTCTGGCAACAATTATGTAGTATACACATCTTTCTTTAAGGACTCTAGTAGGACAAATGAATTGAATTGATACAACTCATGAGGTTTGAAAAGGCAGACAACACATGGTTTTAGGAGTTTCAATTAACTAATTTGATTAAAATTGATTTTGATGTGAGGTCGAAGAAATATTTAATGTTGATGTATGAAAAGGTGATTAGATGTGTATTTTGATTGGCATTAAGTGAACCCTTTTTTTTTGTATGGGGCTGCACAACAGGGGGTAGGCAGTCCATCTCCCATACCCATAACCCCCCAACCCTGGTGGCAGAAGGATTTGATCCCAAGTCTCCACTATAATGAACCAGAGATCCTACCAACTGAGCATCGTTTGGTGGCATAAAGTGGACCTATGAACGGAAGGTTGGTGGATGCAACGTGGTTGGTAAAAGCACCATCTTGTTTCTCAATTCTCTCCAATACAATCAATTTGAGGGTCAGTGTTGAGTATAACAAATGGAGATTGAAAATAATACTGACTAATGAAAATGGAGCTTCTTTCATTATAAATTTCTCATTTTCACTTGTTAGTTTTTCTCTCTGTTATACAAGAAACCATTTATTCTGTTTATGCTCAAAACAAGTTTTAATGGTCTGAAACATAACTGATATTTCCTCCCACATTTGGATTGATTTGTTTCTTGACTTGATGGATTTTATTATCTGAATTTATGTGTCTAGAAGCTGTTAGTTCTGTTAAGTTGATTGTATCTGTTGTTGAAACTGGAATTGAGGTTTGGCTGTTGATATTTGAGTTGGTCAAAGTGATCTTTCCATAGCATTAGTTGTTCTAATATGGCATTTCTTATTTCAAATACAATTTCCAGTCAGTCAGTAATTTAAACCAGAACAATGCTGTGTGCATGTGGCTTATAATTTGCATGATCCTTTCCTAAATATATTTCTAAACTATGATGTCAAAGTAGGTTGAAATTTCAACTTTATGTAACAATTATCTCTTTGTCTGTAATTATACATCCAGATTTTTTTTTTCTGCTGATTATACTTGTTTTGGATATTTGACTTTAGTAGTTGCCCAGGATGGAAATTTATTTGTACCTCAGTCAGGAACCTCATTTGGAACACCTGGTCCAGATTTTTGGTCTTGGACACCTCCTCAGGATGGTAATAAAAGTTCAGAAGATGTAGGTAACTCACAAAGGGAAAGAAAGCCGGTTTCAGATTCACATTCAATCAACTTAGTGGTGGAGAAAGAACAACCTGTAGACTTTCTTTCAATTCCATTTGAGAGTACCTTTTCTGAAAAAATCCATAATCCACCTCTCCCACCCTTTCAGTCACTCGTTGAGGTTGAAAAAGTGGATGTTTCTGATTCCATTTCAGACCTGCCTTCCTTAGAAAAAGAAAAGGAATTACAATTTTCAACATATGCAACAGAAGCAGCAGATGCTCTTGACAAGGTCAGTGAAACATCATCCAATGGAGTCAATCTGGATGGTTCAAGGTGGTGGAAGGAGACAGGTACAGAACAACGACCTGATGGGGTAGTTTGCAAGTGGACACTGACAAGGGGAGTTAATGCTGATGGAGATGTTGAGTGGGAGGAGAAGTTTTGGGAAGCTGCCGACCAGTTTGACTATAAAGAGCTTGGTTCAGAGAAATCAGGACGTGATAGAGCAGGAAATGTATGGCGTGAATACTGGAGAGAATCCATGTGGCAGGTTGGTGGAAGTTACATAGATAACTTGTTTTAGTGCTCATTCTTCTTTATACAGTTACATAAATAAGAACATTCCGGTTAAATGGGCACTTCGGTTTGAGGGGTCATTGTGGTGTGTTGAGCTGACTTGACTGGATAAAACATATGTTCATCTTTCAATTTTTGTGAATTTTGTAAATCCAGATAAGTTATATAACCTGACTGTGTTGCAATTCCTCCTGTTGTTTTAGATGCTAACTATTTTGGATAAAGAGATCAATATCTAAAGGTTTTGCATCATGCTTCATATTTGAGTATTTGCATATGGCTCAGTACATAATAACAAGTTGAACTGTGTTTTTTTCTTTTTCCTGCAGGATCTTACAAGTGGGCTTGTAAACATAGAGAAGGCTGCGGATAAGTGGGGGAAGAATGGAAAGGGGGAGGAGTGGCAAGAAAAATGGTGGGAACATTTTGATGCCTCTGGTCAAGCTGAAAAGTGGTCCCACAAGTGGTGCTGCATTGATCCCAACACACCCTTAGAGGCCGGCCATGCTCATATATGGCACGAGAGGTACTCAAATTATCACCAAGCCCCGTGAGAAATAGGAAACTTTCATTCAAAATGAGGGGGAGGAATTAATCAATTTTACAAAAAGGGCAGAATATAAATTACAATTTACAAATATTTCCTAGTTATTTTTTGGGATGAGGCCGAGTATTAAAATTTTGTCACAGTTTCCAAAAGTCTGATTTTTCTTTCCAATCCTGGAGAACACAATGAAAATATATAGAGCATATAATCTCCCTCTAATTTTGGTTATTGGTCCTTAATGAAGATTAATAGAATATGTTCTAGGAAATTAGATTAGGTAGACTTGAGGAAGGGATAATATTAACATGAAACAGAAATGATAGGGAAGAAACGAAAATATAGGAATATATAAGAATTTCCATTTCAGATATTGATTTTTTCTTTTAAATTCAAACCAACTTTGAAATTATACTAAAATTTTGAAGAATGTTTTGTTTTCAATCCAGATCAAAACCCAGTTCAAAACAAAGATTTAAAACCTTGGATGAAGCATAGTGCTACAAAACAAACTTGAATGCCTGGATCACTTCATAACAGATATGTTTCCTTCTCCTGATGTCAAAAAATAAGGAGAGGAATCCTCTCCATCTTTTTTACACTCTCCGAAAAGCGTTTGCAGTTTAGCAAGTATCTGCACTTGTTTTTGCTTAACCATGGATAAATGCAAATGCTCAATTTATATAACCATTTTTTTGGGGAGGTCCTTTGACGCAGACAAATAAAAACTCAGTCCATATAGGAGCTTTACCTCCTAATCCTGATTTCCCTTTTCAAACAATGGCTGGAAAAGTTAGCCAACTTCACTTCTGATCTTAAGAATATTGCTTGCTAAGATCTTAACTGTTTAATTAGCTAAACGCATGGCACACTTGCAGGGTTCCAGGGACTGTTATGGGTTCCTGATTCCATCTGTAGGAGGTAAACTTGGAAACAATTGATCTTTACTGTTAAATTTAGACTTTTCTTCTGTAAGGAAAGTAGCAGTAAACAATCTAGATCGGAAGCCTTCTGTTGACATATCACAATATGTAGGAAACAGTAAATGGAGACTCTGATCATATCCATGTGCATGATGTTTATGGAAATTTGAATATGGCTTCATCCAGTCCCCTATCCTGGGACAGTGATACAGTTCCATTGGATCAGCATTATACAACCACAAGTCTAAAAGAATGAACTGAACATAGTGTTTCCTTTGGTTCGAAATGCATTTCATAGGTTTTTCTTTGTTGGATGAGATCTATGACCTCAGTTTTGAATATGTTGTTTTTCATACTTTTTTTTTTCTCTCTGCATCGTATACCTTGACAGGTGGGGTGAGAAATTTGATGGACAGGGTGCCAGTATGAAGTACACTGACAAATGGGCTGAGCGCTCCGAGGGGGATGGGTGGACAAAATGGGGTGATAAATGGGATGAGAACTTTGATAAGAATGGACATGGTATCAAGCAGGGAGAAACATGGTGGGAAGGCAAGCATGGAGAGCGGTGGAACCGCACATGGGGTGAGCATCACAATGGCTCCGGATGGATACACAAGTATGGAAAGAGCAGCAGTGGAGAGCAATGGGACACACATGTAGAAGAAGAAACCTGGTATGAGAGGCACCCTCACTATGGTTTTGAGCACTGTTTTGAAAACTCTGTGCAACTCCGGGAAGTTGAGAAGCCGCCTGAGACGTATTAACCAACCATGACAAGCTTTAGCCTTTATGCTTGAGTTCCCTTCTTTTGTCTTTCCTTCTGTATTTTTTTTCCTCCTTTTTTTTTTAACTTATTTTTCTTTGTCCTGAGTGAGATAGATGAAGTTATGTGTATTACACATACGATGAATCCTAACTCATCAATCAGCATCACCGTCTTAACGAGTAATTAGCATGCATAGTCAATTATCGAACATTAGCTTCTTGGTCAGTTTGTTGGGGCTTTGGGGGGGATGTATCGGACTATGTGCTCGGTTGCACATTTTAATGAAGTGTTCTCTCTATGAAAGATTGCAGGAAAATATGTCCATCTCTCCGAACAACTGCGCCAGTGACAATTTAAGAAGTTTTCTTGGTTCAAGGATTATGGAAAAGATACCAACTTTTTGCTGTAGCCATGAATATAGCTTGGCGAAGAATATCGCACTAGACTTCTGTAATAACCCACAAAATTTGATGAAATAACCTCTCTATAACATCCGAAGATTGCATGGCGTACACTCCAACTCTATTAGATATGTCAGAGTTATCAATCATAAAATGCAGTTCGATTTAAGCCAATTTTGACATAGAAACAACCTTGGTTCAGTGTTCACCATCCTCAAAAATTGTGGGCCATCTTAGAGCAAAATGAGATGAGCCAAAAGAAGGCATAAAAAGAAGGGTAAAATACAAAAACCTCACCTGAAGTTTTTGACAATCATAAAAATCTCCCCTTTAGTTTTACTTTAACAAAATCTTCCCCTGAATTTTTAAAGAATTCAACAAAAACCTCCCCTAAATTTTCCAAATACCCATTTTACCCTAGTCAAATCGGCAGCAACACATCCAAAACCACTATCGTCCATCTCTCACCGTTAAATCTAACAACACTATTGTCGTCAGCCATGGTTTGATCAGACAGTTCACCACTCCGAGACATGGACTCTGGTATCGGTGGTAGCACATGCTTCGGTGCCTTGGGAGACTTAGCAACCATAGGCGCCAGTGTTGGAGACAGCGTTGGCACTGGCATTGGCAAAGCCTTGAATAACTCCTTGAGTAACAACACTTTGTCAATCGTGAACATCCTCGTTATCTTGGCTGTCACGATCTTCTCCAATTTTACCAACTCGTGCGTTGTTCTGAATTGTGGAATCATACTTATTGGCACCATCTATTGCTAACGTGTTCACAACTCCGTTGTTCGACCTCAACATTTCCATGGAATGGTAAACAGGAATTCCGTGATACAATAACAACAAATTCTTTCCATCTATTGTTAGGTTCTTGTATTTGGGCATGAAGTCCTTAAACACCTGGTTAGTGGGGCAGAACACTGTTAACCCTCCTTCAATGTTGTTGTCAAATGTTTGCTCAGCTTCGGAAGCCACTAGCATATCTGTGAAAACCTTACAACCTTGCTTTGACATTAGAGATGTGAGGTTTAGTTGGCTGGGGCCCGGAGTGGGGGCTTTGTCTTCAGTGGATGCCATGACCTTGCCATGGTTGGATTCGGCTCCAAAGCCGACCTTACTGCCTTTGAGATTGGTGATGTTGACGAAGCTAGAAGTGTCGGGGGCGGAGCTAGTGGCCAATGGAGAGGTGTTTGGATAGGAGGTCTGACATGTCGCCATTGTAGACTATGCAGACCGCCGATGGTTGATCTCTACGTCGAGTTGAGTGACAGCTAAGTATTGAATGAAGATGGAGAATTTAGGGTACTTTGCTAGGATGCACGTGATATTGTGTGCATCGGTGACCCCGACTAAGAGTAGGAGGAGAGAGGGTTATTGTTCCAGTGGCCATCAGGAAGAGCTGCATTGTTTGAGTAGAACGAAAATACGATAGTGGTTTCGGGTGTGTTGTTGTCGATTTTGTTAGGGTAAAATGGATATTTGGAAAAAATTGATGCACTGATTTAATGTTTTTCATCTGGATTAGTAAGAGAAGGAAGGTTTTTGTTGAATTTTTTAAATATTCAGAAAAAGATTTTGTTAAAGTGAAAGTAAAGGGGAGATAATTGTCAAAAACTTCAGGGGAGATTTTTGTATTTTACCCCAAAAAGAATACTAAATAAAGTCAAAGAGTGCTTACACAATTAAATTGGTAATGACTAATGAACTTATCCGGCTCTCATCGAATCGGGTTTTTGATCATGGTTTGATCCATAAATTTCCAGAGGTGCGCTCCATCCACGTACGTAGAATTGCAGTTTACAAGTTGCTTTGCTTCTTCTGCAGATGTACCAATCAACCTACGACTCAACACGTATGCTCCAAACAACAAGACTGGGACCCAAGTTGGAAGTAATTTCTGTACTAAGCAGAGAAGAGTAGTAGGACCCACTAGAAGAGTCAAGTGGAAATCTATCCCGAGTCCTGAGCATTCTAGTAGGACCCATTGGTATTCATTAGACAATTTCATGGTATGATGTGCGGTGTTAGATGATTTGGAAGCCAGCACCAGGAGACTCTCATTTCTAAGGTTCTGGGCTTTTTTAGTAGGCCCATCTAAAACTAAACTCTGGATACTAAAAGCTATGAATTCGGTGGCCACAAAAAGATCGTAGAGTATACTGGTGTCACACAAAACACACAGCGTATTGCATCTCCACCGATATAAACTAGTGGTTCGTGTTGAACTGAAAACGAGAAGCTCCCATCTTTACCTATTTCTCAATTCTCATACTCTCTCCTCTCCTGGCATTGTTTTCATATACTTCTTAATCACTCATTTCTCTTTCTCTCTCCATCTCTCATGCTAAATTGCTTCCCTGGTAAGCCATTTCACCTTTCCAGCAGTCTATGCTTTCCATTTCTTTCTTTCTGCTGTCTATAAAGTTTTATCAATGCTGATAATTGAATGATTATAGTAACCCCATATAGGTACACTTGCAGATAAGCTGTGTTATAGAAAGAACTCTGAATCGACAGTCTTCAATTGCCAGGGGGAAGCAAAAATTGCTGGATTTTGCATGTGGGTTTTCCTTGCTTACTAGAAATCACAACTCTTATTTGGGGGTTTTCTTCCTGTGATCACATGGGTTCTGCAATGCTCAATGGTGCTGAAAATCTCACACTCTTTAGAGGAATAGCTCCGAATGGGTTGGGATTTCTGGGTTCTGATTTCCATGGGAAGCATCTCCCCAAGATGGGTTTGGTCTGTTATGGAAGAATTAATCCCAAAGCTAGAAACCTAGCACCAAGATGCAGTCTCTCTGCAAGGCCCGCTTCTCAGCCTAGGTTTATACAGCACAAAAAGGAGGCATTCTGGTTCTATAGGTTCCTTTCCATAGTCTATGACCATGTTATAAACCCTGGCCACTGGACTGAGGACATGAGGGACGAGGCCCTCGAGCCTGCGGATCTCTATGATCGAAATATGATAGTCGTAGATGTTGGGGGTGGAACTGGATTTACTACTTTGGGTATAGTCAAGCATGTGGATGCCAAAAATGTTACCATTCTCGACCAATCCCCTCATCAGCTAGCTAAGGCCAAGCAGAAGGAAGCATTGAAGGACTGCAAAATTATTGAAGGTGATGCTGAGGATCTTCCCTTCCGCACTGATTATGCCGACAGATATATATCTGCTGGAAGGTAATTTTCTATCTTCTTTTCTTATTTCCTTTTGTTAAATTTACAGGTCAAATTCTACAGAAACTTTTAGTTTAGGTACCAGTAAATACCTTTTCCTTAGCCAAATTCCACCTATATGGATTGGAATTGGATATTGTCTTGAATCTTGAGCTTGAGTTTTCTTAGATGGATCTCGCATCAGTATATGTGGGTATTTCATTTCAGCATATTCTATTGTAGTTCCTTTTATACCCTTTTGAGGATGAGTTCGGACATGCATACCTCTGAACTTACAAAATGTATTCTTTATCTTATGAGATATTTTTACTTAAATTTTAGTTATTTATTTGGTTCCGTAATATAGTTCCATGGTATGTTGCATCATATATTGATTACTCTTATTTTCAGTAAACGTGGATTTATTTTATCTGGAATATCAGTAGAAGAGAGAGCGGGGGAGGGGGGGGGATCCACAATGGATTATTTTCCTGATAGTTATTCTATGATTTCTTTCTTCAGTATCGAGTACTGGCCTGACCCACAGCGCGGCATCAAGGAAGCATACAGGGTCTTGAAGTTAGGAGGAAAAGCATGTCTTATTGGCCCTGTGTACCCAACATTTTGGTTGTCTAGGTTCTTTGCAGATGTCTGGATGCTCTTTCCAAAGGAGGAAGAATACATTGAATGGTTCACAAAGGCTGGATTTAAAGATGTTCAACTGAAAAGGATTGGCCCAAAATGGTACCGTGGGGTCCGTCGGCATGGCTTGATTATGGGATGCTCTGTGACAGGTGTGAAGCCTCGGTCAGGGGACTCTCCCCTGCAGGTAATCAATCTTTTCATCCTGCCTTGCTAATACTTAGCTATGAAGAAGCATTCATGGTGTAAGTGTAACCTATAATTTCTTTGTTTTAAGCCATTTTCTCATGATCATTTTCACTTTCAACTTTTCATAGAAAAGGCATCACAACTACTAGCTCACAACTTTCTATTGTCATGTGAAAGTTGATTATAATGCTTAGCAATATGAGATGTAGAAATTTAGGATCATCTAGTTGGATCAATTTTACTGATAAAATCATTGATTGAAACAGAATAAGTAGGATGCTGATCATGACTTTTTGACTGCTTCATTACATTGGACTGAAAGGTTTTCATTATTGGGATAAACAGTGAGTGAACCTTCATATTTATAAACGTTGCAAAATAATGTCTATGAGAAAGAGATGAAGCACAACATGAAATAGAAAGAACATTGTGTTACTAAACATCTATAAGGCAAAATATATCAAATGCCAAATGATCATAGAAGGAAAGGTGATGAGCACTGCTAGATAAATGAAAAGAACAATGCAGGCACCTTACATAATGCTAAAACAAATAAAATTATCAACTATGATAGATTTCTGATGGACATGGAGGATTTTGTGTGTGAGTGTGTAAGCATACTCTGAAATTTTCCTCCTCTGGTTTTGGGTGGTAACTATGTTTTGGAAAATTTTGTTCCAAGGGCTCATTTTGAGAGAGGTTGGCAGTAAAGATTTGGTTGGTAGGTTTTTTACCATCTTTTTTATTTGCTGGTTGGTAGATTAGTTACCATCTTTTTCATTTGCTGTGAACCAGGTCATTTAATCAGTATCAAGTTTATACAAACTAAGTGGGTGTGCTTCTAGTCTCTTCACATACTTTGTAATGAGTCTGTTGATCTAGTTTTCTTTTAATTAGCAGATAGAAGTATAAAGACTTGGTTTGGTGTTAAGGCTTAGTATTGTTTTTTTTTTTTTTTTTTATCATTTACTTGCATGAGACATCTGAGATACTTTCTGTTGATACAGCTTGGTCCAAAAGTGGAGGATGTAAAGGAGCCTGTGAATCCATTCATGTTCCTTATGCGGTTTATTCTAGGTGCCATGGCGGCAACATACTATGTCCTCGTTCCTATTTACATGTGGATCAAAGATCAAATTGTTCCCAAAGGTCAGCCTATATGAGAGAGAGAGAGAGATCTTTTCCCATTTGTTCACTGTAAGGCTATAACTCGTTGCTTTTGATAAGCTTTTCTTTCTTTATGTTAAATAATTCCATTGACTTTTGGGCTTGGATCTGCTGCCCACGAGCTGTTCCCACATCCCTGGGCTTTATAGCTTCGCTTTGGGAATATCTCCTTGTCATTCATGGGGAGATGTTCCCTATATATGTGGTGGTGTGGTGTTTCGTGGGTAGACATGTGGATAGGAGACCGGGACAATGATTAGTATATCCCTGTATCTATCTCTCCATCTAAAGAGTGATTACGATGCAGAAATGAATTGGTTCATTTTGTGATACATTAAATCTCAATATCAATCAGTCAAAGACGTTATATGGTTTATTTATCTCTTTATTGGTTTATATTTCTCATGGTCTATTTATCAATTATATTAAATACATTATATGTGACGTTCATGATTTTGTTTCATGTAAGGATCAAACCGGTGATCGAACTGGTCAGGGGTCCGGTTACCGGTTTGAATGGTCCGACCGTTCGACCCGAATGGCTGGCCCGTTCTGACAAAAAATAAAAAAATTTAAAAATTTGAAAAACAGTCAAAACCGTTCTAACGGTTAATCGGCCGGTTCATGGTTTTGGAGGAAAAAGCAGTTTTGGTGAAAAACGGAATCGGTCAGGTGACTGGTTCCCAGTTTTTCCGGTTCGACCGTCCAGTCCGGTCCAATTTTGAAAACAGTGCTCACTGATATAAAAACTTAGGTATTGTTTGTTGCATATAGATAGACTAATACTTTCATGCCCTTGGATATGGATTTGGAATTATTACCTCCATGGCCAACTGCCATTTAGACGTAATCGAAGCTAAACAGTACAAGACAGGATATACCCATCCACTGTAAAAATGACAAGCATAACTGGAGACGGATGTTTTTCCGGCCAATTAGCTGTAAATCCAGTTTCTTTATTCCCCCATCATCCATCTCTAACAAGGATGATTGAACCTGGGATTGCTCTTTTATGGATCCACTAAATTGAAGATTAAAGATTCTTTTATTTTTTTTCTGCTCTTTCCCATGGATAATTTTCGAAAGATATGTTTTGGTGCTTGGGCGGCAGAGAAACTATTTAATTAAATTAACAGTTATAAGTTATAACTAGTTTATAAATAATTTTCAGTATCTATTAATTAGCATCACGTTGTGATAATAGTATATGTTTGGTTCTGTGTGTATTTCTTGAGGGGTGCTTTTTAGATAAATGTTTATCTGAAAAACATTACTTTAAACACTTTTTTGTTTTTTCTATTTGGTTGGGCATTTTAAGTAATATTCCAGAAAGTTGCTTTCCACCTCATCCTAAAGTGTGTCATATCAGCATTTAATTTCAAGAAATGTTTAGGCATTAGAGAAAATGTAATGATCACGTTTTCCTAAATGTCTCGTGCACATAAATCAAAGTGTTTCAGTTTTTTAGTGTTTACTTGATAAAAGGTGAAATCAAACAGTAGTTTTATATGCAATAAAGTACAATAAACACCAACGCTTATGTGGTGTTGATGTTGTGGCGTTTTTTTAATAACCACCCACAGAACTAAACATCACCATAGTATCAGTGGATTTTCAACCGCAGTTTAATCAAAATTAAATATCATTTACTAAAAATATTGTTTATATTTATTTAAAAAATGACAACATTGAACTAACTGTTAATGTTGATGTTGCTTTTCTTTTGTTTAGGCTGTTTTTGTTTGCAGTGTAAAACGTCACTACTGGTTTGGTTTTATTGGCGTTTGGATGGAGTGTAGAATGTCACTATTGGTTCAGTTTTGCTGGCATTTCAATGGAGTGAGGTTTTATATCAATAATCACCTTTTCTGATACCCACTTTTTCAATGGTTTGGAAAATTTTAAATGGTTTGATCGATGAAATTTACATGGCAAAATGGAAACGCTAAAACCAATTTAGCCCTATTTTTATATACCTTAAACCGTACATCCTAAACCTTAAGTCCTAGATCCTAACCCCAAAGCCCTAAAATTAAGCAATTGGTCGGACACATTTCTCAAACAAACAGGAGCCAAATCTTTTTCCTTGGATTCACCATTTTAAGATGAAAATTCACCATATTTGGTTACCACTTTTATGATGTAACCGATTGGTTATGGAGAATTTTTTCATTTTTTACTTGCCCAAGGAGATTAAAGAGACACATAAAGCTTGTTGTTCGGGTGTTGATGCTGAACGCACAAAAGAGTTGAAGCCAATCAGCCATATAGCCGACTTCCCTTCTGGCCTAAGCTTTTACTTCGCACAACGAGAAAAAAAAATGAGTAAAATAAAAAGTTTTCACACCAGAAAGTAAGGATGTTTAATTGAGCAGAGCAGGGTGTCTGTAGATTGTAGCCTCGGCAACCATGGCTATTAAGTTTGAAGTTTGAAGTACCAATAATAAGTCCCAGCCTCTGAACTGGCATGTCCATATATAGGATACCAAACCCCTCTCTACCTGGGAAACAGAGAGATGATTTGGAGGGTGTTTGGTTTTGTTTATATTTACTAGTAATTAAGTACATGCGTTGCATGTGAGAAATTTTTCTTCATATTAATTACTTGAATTTTAGATATGTCATAGTTAAGATAGAAATTGAAAATTAAAATAATAATAATAATATGATTAAAAATAAACTTAAATATTTATTATTCAATTATGACATCATGCGTTTTTTTGAAAAGTTGGATCATTGACCCACCATCTAGATAAGAAATAGCATTGCTTTTGGATTTGCTTTAAATTAAGGGAAATTATAGTCAGAGCCGGCTATACATTTAAAATTTGGTTACAAGTTGGTCCATAAATCGACAAAACTCTAACAAACGGCTCTACATTTCAAGTTGAAAAAGTCCTCGCCATGTTATCGGAGGGCTATGTGGCTATTTTCAACATGAGACTCTTAATCCATATTGGACATAATAAAAAGCTTATACTGAAATTGCCCTTTAATGTTGGGTGATTGGAAAATAAAAAAAGGGTTTTTAGTCTCTCTCTCTCTCTCTCTCTCAATCTCCCTCACACTCTTTTACTCATAGTCATCTTTATCTGCTCAACAACTATGTGATTTGAAAATAAATAAAAATGGTTTTTGGTTTCTGTATTTACGTCTATTCCCTTTCGGTAGCTCGGGGGATCTTGAGCTCGTGTTGTAGTGAGCTCCCTCTGTAGTGAGCTATGACATAGCGAGCTGTTCTACAGGCTCGCACTTAGTCGCAGTCAAGCTGCGGTGCTGAGCTGTTGCTCATGTTGAGTCAGGTCCACGTGTCATCGCCTCAATGGGTCGGGTCAAATCATCCTCCATCAATTGCCCTCCACTCCTCGGGTTAAGAGTGCCATCTTAGCGTGAGGAGTTCATGAAGTGTGACGGGTTGATTTGACCATAGTTCAAACTTGATTGACTGCTCATGTTAAATGTGTGTGCAGAAGTTAGGAGATTTCTAACGTTTCGAATGCCGAGAAGCGTGCCGAAGTGGCTCTTAACTCTGGGTGTCGTGCAGCCATCATTACCTCAATCATGGGAGACGTGCAACCAGTCACATTTTGGTTTCAGAAGACGTGCTTTCAGCTTGACTGCGAACCATTAGACCTGTCTCAATCTGGGCCGTTGATTTGGAGGCACGATGACTATAAATAGGAGGTTCCCCTTGGCCTCATTTTCTTTCATGCTATCTTGCTGTCTTCGGGTTCTGAGGTCATGCATCCATCTAGTCTACCCGAGCTCTTCCGTTCACAACGTTTCGTCTTTTCCGGTGAGTCTCAATCATCCTGTCAATCATGTTTGGGTATCCGTACCATGTTTATTCTCGGGACGGTAACCAGGACGATGATGCCCCCTCGAGCTCAGGGGGAGCTTGGGAGCAAGTTCCGGAGGCTCGCGAGGCCTCTGGTGACGTGGCTTCTACTTCTCAAGGGAGGGAGCCCGACACCTTTGGTCCCTCCTCTATGACGGCGGAGAGACTCAGGTCTCTAATCTGCTACTTTTACCTCCCTGGGGACCTCTTCTACAGTCTCCCCACCGGTAACTTTCCTTGGGAGCATGATCCCAACGACATAGTAATTTTCCAGGAACAGCTCGAGGCTGGCCTGCGTCTTCCCTTGCACCCCCTAATAGTGGAAGTGCTAAACCATTTCAATGTTACCATCGACCAGCTCCATCCCAACGCTATCCGGAACATGGTTGGGACCATTTCTTTGTTCTACGAGAACTGTCTTCCCCTTAACCTTGATATTTTCGCTTTTATTCTCTACATCAAGAATGCCATTCCCGGAGCTCCTCCGAAAAAGCGTTTTTACTACCTCTCTCCCCGTCGTGGCTATAAGCTCCTGTACGAGCTGCCAAACAAGATTCCCGCCTAGAAGCGGGACTATTTTGTGGTCCGTAAACCCGAGGGGTGGTCCTTCCCAACTTCTTGGAGGGGCGCCATCCAGGACCCCGGGGCCGAGTTGGACTTTGAAACTCAGAAAACGATGCTGTCTTGGGCATCGATAGGCTTCCTCTGTTCGGACTACTTGATCGAGGGAAAGCTCACACAGGCTGGCCTGAGTTTGGGTAGGTTGCCTTTTTAGGTCGCGTAGTGCCTTGTAAAAATATATCATGTGTATACATATATCATCTTTTTTACTGGACTAATACCTTGTGGTTTTTTGGCAGCCATCATGTCTAGTGTTGACGCGCGCCGCCATCTTTCGAGCAACCAGAAGCGCGAGGCGAAGAGGTTGCGCCTTGACCGGACTCCCACCTCTGGGGGCATTGAGTTCGAGTCTGCTGAGCCAAACTTTGTTTCTCCACCGCCTAAAGTTCTATCGACCCCATTTGAAGGAGGCACCAGAGAAGGTGGCCTCGAGGAGGGCGAGCTCCCGAGGCAAGGGGTGATTCCTACTGGTCCCTCCCGCCCATTCCCCTACCTACAGTTCCCGGTAGGGAACTGGGAGGGTGTCAATGACTACATTGTGGCTGGCCAAAAGAGCCGAAGGGCAATCTGCCACGAGGAGGTCGCTAGGTGGGGGAAATGGAGCGCAAGGCGCTCACCGCGTTTGCCGCCTCCCACTGTATGGTGATAAGTGGTCCTTCTTTTCTTCTCATTATTTCCTTTCTTTTGCTGTTTTCTGACCTTAGTCCCTTGTTTGGCAAGTGAACACTGCCATCCATGCCATGACCCTCCGGACTAACATCCACTTCGGCGACGCTCGTAATCAGAGGGATCTCGTTCAAAAGCTCTAGGGCGAGTTCGACCAGGCCCGGGGTGAGCTCCTTTACACTCGCAAGGGGAGTGAGGCCCAGGAGCTGCTCGTCCGTGACCAAGAGGCGCAGATCGCCAGGCTTTCCGAGGAGA